ACTGAATGATACTCGCTACTTCAGTCCTGAACTTTGGCGTTTCATCAATAGTAACGAGCGACTAAAGAGCAACCTTCAAGGCAATCAAATCATAAATTGGAGGGTGCTATCTATCAAACACTCTACTGAACTGGGTAAAAGGGCTGTCATCTGTGTAATAACAATTGTTGGACTCCACAATACGAGTGGTCAAATCTATTTAACATGTATGTAGATATTGATCAGTGTTTAGGTGTTCCTTGTTCGAGGAAGCCGGGATCTCTTTCTATGATAAACAGTTCGTCGTAAACAAGATGCTGGTGTTGAAAATCCTTTCACTTTTAAGGCTCGACTATTTTGACACCAGTAAAGTTTCCTTTAAATTGTCCCCACCAGAGAACAAGGCCTGCTTGTGCGATGTCACAGTTTGCCTTCTGAGTTGCAATTTCATCCCCTGAAAGGACTCTGCTCCAAAGATTGACTTCTGTTACCTCACCCGGACCAAAGCTCTGTCTGGTTTCAAATTCCCCTCCGACTTTATCTTGGTCTTGTCCAATGATAACTGTTCCGCCGGCTGGTATCTGATGATTTTTCTTCAGGTCTGTTCCATTGCTTTGAAGTTGTCCATTCATATAAAACTGCCAGTAGCCTTCGGTGTTTTTCCAGGTAACACAAATGTGATGCCACATGGTATCATCAATTTTGACTCTGGTGTCCATATTACTTAGAAAATAAACATAAACAATTAAAACTATGTTAGAAACTCTCGTTTCTTGACTGACTGCGGTCCAATTGTGGCATCAAGATATATATATATGTATATATATACATATAGTGCTACATATAGAATAGGAATGCATGTTAACAATGTCGTGTGAGCTGCTGGAATGGGAGATAAATTAAGTTATTTTAATGTCACTTAACTTTTTTAAATTCCATTGCTATTTATTTCATTCGATCTCCAACACGCCATAGCTTTTAATTTTGTCACTAACAATGATTTAATCACTAGACACATTTAATTATTTATTTAAAGTCGCTTGGGAGCAAAAACAAGAGAACGTGATTGTTAACAACGCCAAATACAATCAGAAGCCTCGATAATACTCCGCTGGGAGCACTTTAGCCCATTGCGGAAACAGGCATATCATTTTTTTGAAGCTGAGCCAAGGACCCTAAAAAAATTCATCTTTGCGCCCCTTTATCGCGCGTAATTCACCATTCATTCCGATATATTTTTACTTCTCTTCTATCCTATTCTATTGTGTTGTTGCGTTGTGTTCTTGGGCGACAGACGTTATTCTTACAGTGCTTCACTCCACCCAGGAGTATTACGGCACATTGTCGGGGAAACCGAATGAAATGCTGAAATTGCATTAGCATCCAATCCAGGGGGAAGTATTAATACTCCTACGAGTCGCTTTATTTTAAGAAAACCGGGATACGGTTTGGCTGGATGACCCACTTGACTCGAGTACAGACTTTATCTATCGTGTTTGTCATATCACTTACTCATTTTCCGAGGCTATGGCGATCCCAATTCCTGGTTTAAACAGACGAACGTAGAAGGCATTTCCATAAGGTGCTCCAGTAGTCGCATAACTGTAGAGGAACTGTTCACCATTCAAAATTGTATCCTTCATTTTGACAAAAAAGCACATAGTAAATTCCGAGAGACTAGACGAGGTGGCGTTTGTTATGCTGGCGTAACTCTTTATGCTAGGCTGTCCAAAGACCATTCGGTAAGCTGTAGGAAACAACAAAACACAATCTTCTTTACTCCAGTTTCACTGAAATGACAAAGCAACTCTTAAATTGGATGAATCTCACTGCGAAATTTCCGGATTAGTCTTGTTTCAGAAATTACTTTATCCGCTACCGGATCACGTACGTAACTGATAAACACTAAGTGCAAAGAGTTCTGTCTAAAAAGAACAAATCTTTACGAAATAAATAGGCCAGAGAATTCGGGATGAGAGGATTATTCAGCCGGGAGGGGACATACAAAAGTAATCCTAACGGTTATTGCAACAGATACCCAGAGTAAAGATTGTCTTTGTTTTTTGAAAAATCTTGCTTTGGCTTCCGCATGGCTACCACGCACGCCAGAAAGAAAGATACAAGAAAAAGTACCTTGAGCGCTCTTAGATGTCAAAGGTAGCTTGTGGTGTTCTCCTTAATAGGTGAGCTCGTTTGAAGTTATTCTGACTTCTAAAGCCAAAAAAACCTTGAGGTATAAACTTTTCACACAATTTAAAATCCAACAGTTACTTTCTACTTCTTAAACTCTTTAACCCCTAAGAGTGATTAGCACCTAATTTCTCCATACAACATCAGCGCT